TTCCTGCAATGTGTTACAATGTGAATGGACTGGAACATTGTTTCTGATTCTGCCTACTGCATGTGATTAACACTAAATGGCCTCCACCCTAGGGCTGACAGTACCCCCCCAAACAAGAGAACTGTAACAGACAAAACCACCTGAGCAGCCTTTTAATTTTTGGCTTATTGAAGTGATGTTTCTGTTGTGCTAGAATCACACTTCCCAAATGCACAATCAATGTCCAGTGTGGAGCTGAATTGCCCCGATATGTGACTCAGAACTTGAATTGACTTCAGGGGAATAAACAAGGAGCAGCACAGATATTTTTTGGTGAATCGGAAACTGCAATGCGGAGGGGAACATTTTAGGATATAAAATCAGAGCTTCTACTAAACTGTGAGGTCACATTTATTATTTCCATGCTTTACAATCAGTCTGCAATTCACTGTTGCATATCACACTTAATATAATTTGACACCTTTCCAAAAAAGCTAAGTATTTCTTTTTAGATAAAATACCAAGCAAAGATGACCAAATTGCAAATCACTGAGTTGAGATCACAGTTTGTATTCTTGAGAAACTTATCACAGCCGGTTATCATGAATCACTCTCATCATTTCCTGGCACTGAAACATTTACATATTTCAATAGTTTTTATACCGTATAAAGTCAAGCATACCACATGGAAGCAAATACCAAATCTAAGAGGTAAAGGTAAAATGAAGCATTGCAGGATAAAGTCTTTTTATGAGACCTACCTGGAGAAGTTGACAGAAAAAGGTGCCAAAGCTGAGGTTGAGGGGAGCCCATCATCAGCCCTCTGTATCCCAGGTGACTCTCCATATCTGTTCCCCTTGGCCCAGCTGTCCCCCGCTGCAGCCAGGTTTGAGTACATGCCAAAAGGCTTCTGGTCCTGTGGGCCCACTCTGGAGGACAGGCTGGCTCTGTAGGGGTAACCCGGTGCTGCACCAACACCCACAGGTGTGGACATAGGGCCTCCTACTTGTAGAGGGCTCATGCTGCTCTGGAGACACTGGGACTGGCAGAAACCAGCACGGTCCTCCTTCTCCAGTTTGACCACACCAGGAGTGCGGAGGTGGATGAAAGAACTTTCTGGATCTTTCTCTTCCTTGATCATAACACTGGAGAGAAGGGATGCAGCTTGCTGATGTTGAAGCTGATATTGCTGGTGCTGCAGTATGTGCTGCTGCTGCTGATGATGTATGGGGTGCTGCTGCTGGTCACTGCCATTCACACTGGTACAGTTTCCTCCGTTACCCACCAGAGACTTGGTTTCTTTCAGCAAACCACTGTCAGGACCAATAACACCACTGTTCTCTTGGAGGATGTTATCCAAGTGTGCCACTTCTGAATCCAGCTCAAAATCACTGATTTCTGGCAGCGAGCTAGAAAGGTCCAGGTCTTGCCAAATCTCAGTATCCTCGATTAAGTGGCTGCTGTTGCCATCCAAATCACATGGGCCAGTGCCTGTGTGTCCACTGTAAGTTCCCAAGTCCTTATCCAGAGAAAAATTCCCCTCCTGCTTGATTTGTTGGGAGAAAAGGTCAGGTAAAGGGAGATTGCCCAAGACAGAGGTGTCTGAGGTGCTGATGACAGAGGTGGACATCTGGTCAAGATCACAGACACTCTGATTCAACAAGGGCAAGTTGTCCTCCATGATGAATATACTAATATCCTGTTGTTGTTGCTGTAGTTGCTTCTGAATTCTGTTGATTTTGCCCTCCTTCGTGTCTGACCCCTCACACAGGGAAAGATGCTGAGAGGACTCAAAGAGGCCTCCAAACTCCCCCTGGACTTTGGTTCCACCCTGTCCATTTGGGGTCACTGTGGTCTGGGGCAGAGACCCAGGACTGGGCAGGTGCATTGTAGACTGCAGAAGTGAACCAGCTGTGTCACCTGTGTCCCTGCCTACTCCGGCTCCTGTATTTCCAAAGGTCAAGCTGTCGTCTCGATTACCATTGTGCTTCAGACCACCCTGATCCATTTCTTTATCCTGACAGGACAGTGGGTGTGAGTCAGGAAGGCGCATCACACACAGGGTGAGAGAGAGAGAGAAGAGACAAGGTTAGCCCATAAAACAGTGTTGACTGATAGGATGACACGTACAGTAGGCTGTTAGCACAGAAGACAAAATTAGAAAGCTTAGAGAAATACTGATCTTTAGACATCTTGAAATATCTGCATTAAAAACGTATAATGGTGCAGCGGGAGGGTTCATGCCTCCTAGTACGCATCTGCCTACAGTGGGCTCTTTTTTAATTTTCATTTTTCCAAGAAACAGCAGCAACTGAAACAGGTCCTGTCCTCTCACACCCACACTGGAATGACATAGCAAAAGCATAAATGGCAGAACCTAGGCTGACTGCTGATAAAAAAGACAGACTACAGCCATTACATTACATAAATGAATACAATGTTCATGTTATTTCTTTGAATTGTGCTCTGCTCTCAAGAGTCAAGAAGCACACAACATACCAAAAAGCATAACTAGTGTTACAGGCAATGCCATGGACAGTCCCACATGCATGTTAACCAGTCACTCTCCATTTGCAATTTACAATTTAGTTAACACTCTATTAACAAAACTAGAAATTTAAATTTGATTAATTAAAAAGGAATGCATTTGCATGTGCTGGATCTGCAGCTCAGTCTTTAATTTCTTAAAAATGATCATTAAGGGGCAGAAATGAGCCAACTAGACAAACTGTCAAAATTTTCAGCCAATGAATGAATATTATAAATGGCACAGACATAGACCCACGTCGTTCAGAGCTTTCTCTGCTTCCTCTGCCAAGTGATATGCAGCCAGTGTCAAATTAAAACTGTGAACCTTGAAATGAGGCTTTGCAGGAGCGGATCATGTAGTCTAGATCACCTCCTGTGATTTCCTAATCAATCCAAATCACCAGTGGGTGTATTTTATCTGTTTCTGCCTGGAGCAATGGTCGTGGCATTCTTCATAGAAGACAACACTGCAATTAGCACTTACTTTTGGAGCATACTGAGGTGCTGTGGTGCCTAAAGTTAAGTCAAAGGACTTGGGGGCTCCCTGCGGTTTCTCTAGGATTTGGCATTTTTATAGCACGCCATGAGGCGGAATTAGAACGATTTTTGATTTTTGTTTTGGTCACTGTTTCACAGCTGTACCCCGCCCACTCAGACGGCTCTATATTGCTCACTGCTCTAAACCAGATAAACACAATATCTGAAAATTGGTGTGGTTCATAAAAGGCACTTTAGACAAGGTTAACACAAAAAAATGAAAGAGAATATAAAAGCTGAAAAGTTTTGGTTTTCCATTCTACTTTCCTACCGATCATTCCT